GTGGGGCAGGGTGGGGCAGGGCGTGGCGGGGAGTGGCCACAGGGGCGGGCGGCGGACGTGCCCCGAGACCGCGGGGCACGCAGCCTGCTCGCTGAGTCCCACACAAGGAAGAAAAAGGTAGCGTGTGCATGAAATCCGTGCCACATATGCACTAAGAAAATGTTATCCTTGCGTGAATACAAATACAATACATAGTTAAAAGCACGAGTAGAGCTAAATAAAATGTGTTCGGCTCGATCCGCGCCCAATTCTGTTGGAAGATGCGGACGCGGACGGTAGAAGGATTGGCATGTCTCCAGAAGCCGGATTGAATATTGCTTTTTGCATCGTATCCAGGCCTGCCAGGCCAGGCCTAGGGGGCTCCACGCGGGGAGGGGCGGCCCATGTAGTCACCGCTGTGTACTGCTGCATTTGTCAAAACGTCTGCCGCGTCAGCGCCCCGCCACGCCCCGCCTACACCCCATACAGAGCCACAAACCCGCCCCGTCCCAACCCCCCCTGCGCGAGTACTGCTCTGCTCCACTTCCCGCTCGAAACCTCTGTCCGCGACACTCCAGTACGCTTCGGGGAAGTTCTTCTTCATCGGTTTCTGACACTACTCATCCGAACATTCTTCCCGTCCAAAAACACAACCCAGTAGTCGGCCTGCTCCAGATGCCAAGATGCGGTTGGGAATATCGGTATACATCTTAAAAGTTTGATATATTGTAGTTTCGTTTTATCTAGTTTAGAAGTATCACCAAATAATCAACAACTCAAAAACATCAAAAAAATGAAATAAATATCCGCGCTACCAGTCGTTCGTCATTGCGTTTGACGTTTTAAATGCGACCTCAATAGTTCCAGCTCCCGGCGGGCGCCAGCAGATGGATGGGTGTCGCGGCGGCGCTGCCTGACGTCACCGGGGACCCTCCATGACGTCACCGCCCCCCCGCTCCACCTACAAGCCCCCCCCCCCCCCTCAGCCCACACTATCTCTGCGCGCTCACGGCCGCCTCTAAACGCCAAACTAATTAAACCCTCCAAATCACTGAGAGAGGGGTTAAATTCGGAAGCGGCAGGCAGCGAGGCCGCGCGTCCTCGAGTTAGACAGAACGCTCGAGGCCTAGCTGGAGCGTGGAGCAGTCCGCTATACGCGGCACAGCAGAGCGCCTTGGAGGTAGGCACCGCACGGCTCACGGTAGTGTAACGGGACTGCCTACCCAGCAGGCGCGCTCACCGCCAGCCCCAACACAGAGCGCCTTGGAGGTAGGCACCGCACGGCTCACGGTAGTGTAACGGGACTGCCTACCCAGCAGGCGCGCTCACTGCCAGCCCCAACACAGAGCGCCTTGGAGGTAGGCACCGCACGGCTCACGGTAGTGTAACGGGACTGCCTACCCAGCAGGCGCGCTCACCGCCAGCCCCAACACAGAGCGAGGGCGGAGCGTTCCAGCTCTGACGTGGACGGGCGGGCCAGACCGAGAGGTACTTTGGGTACTCCACTACACCATAGGAAAAAAACACGAAATAATTAGAAAAAAACCACAAAAACAACAGCAGTTTAGCGAAAACAGAACAAAAAACGGTATACACTGGAATTTAAGTGAAGTACCCCTTGCTGTTCGGTAACACGTATCTAACGTTTGCAGTGCAAATTCCTTAATAAGCTTGTTAGAGTGTGCGGGCCGCACCGTGACCCACCTCACATTCACACGTATTGATGTATCAGTGTACAGCTCAACGCTATCTCCTATTTAAACTTTTCCACCCATCCTTTTGTCCTTGATGTACTGATAATCGAAAGCGAATAAAGGCGGCCGCGATGCATCGAGCAAACCCTACTCCTCCGCGACGACTGCGCGGACACACACCACCCCGGCTGCATCACCTCGTCGCTGAGCGCGCCAGAATCGCTGGCAAGTGGCCTACCACTAGTGGGCCACATCAAGAGACAAGTAAGTAATCCACTGAGCTTCACGAAAAAAGTGTGAGATATTGTGAGGGAAGTACGGTTTGAGAACGGTCCGTACAGGAGTTTAGTGACGCACTTTCTTAGTGACTAGTGCTTAGTAAACAAATCTCGAGGTTACTTAAGCATGGCTCGTAAGCTGTGATGCTGCCGTTTCCTTTGTAGGTTACGAAGTAATGCCTTGTCAACTTTTCAATAAAGTGTCATCATACTCTCATACTGTACACTCGTACACTACCCCGCGCCCGGACGCCCTCTGGCCCCAACGCTATCTTGAGTTTTAACACTTTCCCACTTGCCCTTTTGCCCTTGATGCACTGATAATTGAAGGTGAAGAAAAGGAGATCGTGATGCGACGAGTGCAAACCTCATTCCATTTGTCGTAACCACTCCGCTGAACCCAGTAGTCTCGCTGACAGGTTCCACTGAGCCTCACTCATCTCGACCAGATCACACAATGGCATTTTCACTTTTTAAAAAAATTCTCAGATTTATCCACGAAGAAGTGGTCTTGAATTAAATTGCAAAAGTCTTTCCGGATTTATCGATGGTCTTCGTAGGAGTGCTTAGTAAAAGAATCTCGAGGATACTGTAAAATTGAGTGTGAAAAAGACTACTTTAACTATCGAATTAAGCATCCCTAGTAACACAAAACTGCCGCGCATAGTGTAATTTTTTTCAATCGATCAATTATTGTGACGATAACGAAAATCCAAAAGTAATGGATTTTCCAGAGTCAGACGATTGTCGCTGGTCTATCAAATTTAAACCATCTAACATTTGGTTGTATTTATATCGATTTCTGGTCAAATCCACAACAGTGGTTTTTCGCTTCTATTCTGATAGCTAGTCGATAAAGATTTTCGTTCCGAGGAAAAAAGATAGTATAGCAATAGAATTATTTTTCTCATTTCGTATATCGCACCGATAGTCCGTATCTTTTTTCTACTGTTGTCCGGCAATCGTACGACAGTTCTGTGCTACTAGGGATGCACGCATGGGTTCTCGGCTTCTGACACGACCTTTACAAGTAAAATTTACTATTAAACAACTGGAAAACGAAGTCTTTTGGGAATTCACAAAAGAAGATGGGGGATGCCCGTTTCTCCTGTTGGCTCGATATTTTACTCGATAAGACATAAGACCCTACCAATCGTCGATAAGTACAGGACATGATACGTTCGCACTTTCGTTATTCTCCTGTTATCTTAGAGAGGGAGTTCAGCCCGAGAAATAATTCACCCAGGTACTTCCTAGCGTACGTCTGCCCACTTGTTTGTGTGCAGTTGCGCAAACGCTCATGAGCGACTTTGCAGCGTCAGAGAGGCACGCTAATTCACCCACCACATTTACTCAAATCAAATTTCAAACTTGTTTTGCAGAAACCACCAAGTCATGGCAGAGGCAGTCGCCCAGGAGAGGCCCTGCAGCGTCGAGGACCAGGCCGCCTGGAGCCGGTTCTGGCAAGGTGGCTGTAAAGACTTCCCGAGCGCGCTCAACCTGCTCAACACCAAGTACACTCCGCTGCAGCCCCACCTCCTTTCCGCCCAAGCGGCGCCCTTCGAGGCAGACGCAATGAGATATAACGCGGAGGTGATGTTATTCGACATCCGCAACCAGAAGGTGCGTGAGCTCATGAGGAGGATCACCGAGCACCAGTACAGAGGGGGGGCTGAACGAGTGAACCCCATCGACCTGAGCGGTCTGAGCGCGGCCGAGTACATCGCTGCCTGTAGGCTCCTGCAGGAGACGTGGATCATGCTCGCTGCCTCCGACGCTAACAATGTCTCGAGGGGTATTCCGGTGCCAGAGGGGGCAAAGGTAGTGAACTCACGGTGCTACGGCCCACGAGAGAAATACGTAGCCCAGTGGGAAGAAGGAAACTCTACAGTTCAGAGTGAGCACCGAACTAACAGTTCAATCAATGGGCAAGGACAAGTAGACCCGTTTTACCTTCCTCGACTAGGGGACTCATTCGTGAAAGACGTGCGTACTTACGCGGCCATCAAGAATGATCTGACTAAAATAATGGAAGACCTCGGGGGAGCCTACCCGGGACCGGGACAGAGGCGCCTGGCCGACCTGTTCATCCAGTTCGCGCACAGTCACTCCCTTGCGGGGGCGCCAGAGCTAGGCAAAGAGAAAATAGACAAGCTCTTCAAGATATGCTTTCTTATCATGGAGAAGGAGCAGGCCCAGTGGCAGGCGAGTTGCTTCATCAGGACGCCTTGGCAGCTGGGAATGGCCGTGTCCTTCGCACGGCTCGTCATCCTCTTTAGGGACGGTGTGGTTCAGCTAGATGATATGTTCGGCGAGACGGGTGTCTACAGAGTCTACAGCACCAAAAAGATCTTGGTCAACTACGACGACGTGCGCGAAAGGTGCGCCGCTATTGACAAGAAGTACTCGGAGCATATGGGGAGCGAAGTCGATGCCAGGAAGGACCTCGTCACTGTATACGGACAAGTTGCCCAATAAAAGCAAACACTTTGACAAAAGGGCACTTTCGTCTATAGTAAATCAGAAATCAAAAGGTCCTGCATAAAAAAACTTTTATTTACACTATATTTGGTAGTATA